AGGTTCCGGATGTTCTTACAACATAAGGCAAGGGAGTTCCGCATTTGCAAGATCATCGAGTGCACCGAGGAATACACATCCAAGACATGTGGACATTATGGGTTCGTAAAGAATGACCTCGGAGGATTAAAAATATTCAAATGTGATTCGTGCGAAATGGAGATGGATCGGGACACGAACGGTGCCAGAAACATCTTGCTCAAATATTTGACAGAGGGTCAGGCTTTGGCCTGACTTTGGGACTTGAGCCTATATGGGATATGATATGCATAGTAAAGACTAACTTTATTTATTCATGTTGGATTTAATTTTAAGGGCACATAAGCAAGTGTGAAATAATGTTATAGAAATCTATAACATAATCGAAGAAATTGTCACTATCTTTCTAAAGTGATTGTATTAACTAAGACTTGAGTAAGTCACGTGACCGTTTTGCTTGTCAGGTGAATAAATTATGTAATATCAATGACAATCTATTATGTAATGGTTTCGCCATAATCTCTTATTTTTGATTTCTTTTTTTTTGATTATTTTATTTTCTTATTATCAGTCATTATGTAATTATTGAACTAATTGTATAAAAGATCCATATCGTTAATAAAAAAAAAAGAAGTTTTTTCGGCCAACATCAATTCTACCTCACCATAAATAAACCACTTACCATCGTTACGCAAATCTGAACTTTCCTTAGCGACAGACTCACCAATCACCATTACTCTGTATAGCTTTAAACCGTTCACAATAGTAACACACAAGAAATCAAATAGAAAGTTCTTTCATAACAAGCCATTTCCTTATTTCTCTTTATAATTCTTTTATGTAAAACAGTACTTTTGATTGTGATATCTTGCAACCAAACTTCATTGGACCATAATGGATAGTGTAACACAGGAAAAAGTGACGCGCCTCACACTGAATTCTGGGTTCCCCACGATAGTGGGAAGAAGATAGTGGTACCGAACACAATAAGCATGATAGAAAACTAGTGTGCGCCTGGAAAAGAGGGAAAATGTTAGAAGTAGAATCGCGATGCAATCGCAACTATTGTCACGTGACCAGGTAGTGCAAGGATCGATTATGGCACTATGAGATCGATTAATAGAATTATGTAATAAGAGTAGTGTGAAAATAACAATTGCCTCGTCATGAGATTTTTATGGTTTTTGCTTAATTTGTATTTATTATTTTATTATGTAATGAGTATGCAAGAATGTATAAAAGAAAGAAGAATTGAATAAAGGAAAAATAACCGAGTTCGCCTCACCCATAAATAAAAACACTTACCATCGTTACGCGAAACCAAGCTTCCATTAGCGACAGACTCGCCGATCACCGTTACAATAGCAATGGTAGTTTTCTATTTGAATTAGGCAACAATGGTCAATCCTAGTTAGTATTTTTTCTTTTTCATATCCACATATCAATACCTAATACTGTAAGTAGCATCACAGCAGACACTCATAGGTGCGCATATTCTTCTATCAATCATCTTGCATTATTTAGCCTCATAGGCTTACCCATATTTCTTTAGGTCATATGCTGTAAAAAAAGCCTATGATTTTAATAAATCCAAATTAAGTATCAACAACCGTACGGATTTCACAAAAAAATTATTATAAAAATAGCAGTGCAAACTTGTCAAAAATAAAATAAAAAAATAAAAATTTAGAATTGTAAAACATTAGTGTCATTTTATTCACAATATACGTAATCGATATTCCATCTCGTGAGGTAGTAAGTCAATTTCGGCAAGTAGAACGCATCATCGATTTATTTGACAAACGATAGGTCAGATAATTACAGTACGTACTTAATGTGATATTTCAAGATATGGGTAACAATACGAGTAGTCTAAAGGAGGCCGAGATGGAACGAGAACTTAAAATGAAGATGGAACAAGAACTTAAAATGAAGGAGATGGAATTTAAGAATAGGCAAGAAGTTAAAGCCAGCGAGGTGGAACTGAGGAAGGTGGAAATGGAAATTAAGGAGGTGGAACTGAGGAAGGCGGAGATGGAATTTAAGAATAGGCAAGAACTTAAAGCCAGGGAGATGGAACTGAGAAAGGCGGAGATGGAAATTAAGAGTGGACAAGAACTCAAAGAGAAGGAGATGGAACTGAATAGACAACGCGAGATAGCCGAACTGATAATTGAATTGAAAAAGACCAAATCAAAATACTTCAGTGAACTTACGAAATCTTATATGGATATTATATGCGAAATTATTAAGCAAAATTCCGTCCTCTATGACAAAGCCAACGACTCTTTAAATAAAATGACAAATGAAAACCTCCCTGAATCAGTCAAGAAAACTATCACAGATACCTATAATAGAATCACCAATGTACGGTGTTGCTTTATTTTTTTTATTTACAGTATATTTTCTGTTTACTAATCATGCAAGTATATACTGTATACTGTATATTAGGATATCATGAGTACTACCGACCTTATCAATTATGCAACAAAAGAGGCTAATAAACTTAATATTCAGGATACTGAGGAATATATTAAATTAATAAACACATTGGTCGATAATGGTCGTCTTACTAGCAAAGACAGAGAAAAACTTCTTGATGCTCCGTATGATCCTGTGATTGCAAGCGGGAAACCCGAAAATGTACAAGAAACAAACGTACAAGAAACAGCCGTGCAAAAAGAAATTCTTATCAGAAATGAATCGGATGTGAGTTCTTTTATTGACCTTTTACAACAAAAACTTAAAATGCCCCAGGAGAAGTTAGAAGAATGGCGGAAGGATATTATATTTGAATTTCTGGTTAATATTAAATATTGGAAAGAAGAGCGTGAAATTATGACCGAGACAGAATTCCTAAAGTATAAGAAAGAGAGAGAGACCAAAACAGGTGTTCCTGAGACTAAATATAAAAAAGAATTAAAGGAACGCTATTCGATGATTATTGAATATGTGTAATACCACAAATACCTTCTCACGATACTCACATAAATCTGAAATTAAAAATAAAATATTCTTAACTTTATTAATATCTATGAAATTATTTTTTTGTTACAAATTACTTACAAAGATCAACTTATTATTTATGGAGTAGAGATTAAAAGGGAAAAATAAAGCATTAAACATGCCAGCTGAATCCTCACATGTAGTAAAGTAATAGATACTTCTTCCATTTCATATTATTCAATAACCAATCCATATTATTTATAATAAAAATATCAATTATTTCTAATTGTTATAAATAATTTCAAACTATAATTTATTAAATATCTTTTCTAAGATGGAATTGTCACAGTAACGGTTGGTGAAATCCTAGACTTCGCGACACTTCGACAGGGGTATCTGTTATAAAGGGGAGCTTAAAGGTAGAAAGAGGTGTAGATTTGGTGAGTTTGTATGATTCGGAGGATTTTGTTGATCAGAACAGTGCAATAAGTATGTCAATTTTTAACTAGTGAACACTGTTTTATTAACTAATTTATTCACTCTCTTTTTCTACTACATTTCCTTACATCATTTTTATACTTTTTTTACAGCAAAAGAAAATAACAGAAATATTTGAAATAAATGAAATAAAAAAATAACAAAAATAAAAGAAATAATGAGATCGAGAGTCAATTACCCATTTTAGCAACCTCTATAATATGCAATTGGCATTTCTCAATTTCTAAGCCATATTGTTGATCACTGTTTTTCTGTAATAGAACATACTGTATAAAAAATAAACAAAATATTTTGGACACTTAGAAAAAAATTTTTTAATGTTAAGCAAGACATTTATTACAATATTTATTTATTTATTATTATTATTTTAGACATTAGCTGGATCTTGCCCAGTATACTTTATTATTGATATTTGATTATATAATTACAGAGTATTATATGTTATAACTATAATTTTATTTTATATATCAAGCTATATAAAGGTTCTTCAAATGTCAACTTTGATTTATTTTTAGTTTATATTATAAAAAAAGAATCAAAACAAATATGCCAAGACTTCATTATATTAGTAAATAAAATATTTATAAAGCTGTTGTGTTTAATATTTTATTTGTATTTTAAGAATTAGCTTGTTATCTTCTTTGTCCACTTTTTTACTTTTCTTTCTTTTTCTATTAACTACGGTTAATTTTTTTTCTTTAATTATTATTTACTTGTTTTCTTTTGTTTTTGTAATTTCATATCTTTTTTTTTATGGCTTTTTCACATTTTTCTTTTACTGTTCTCAATACTTTTTTCATATGTTTTGTAATTGTTTTACATGTTTTTTAATTTGTATGCCAATTTTATTCTTTATAAAGTCAATATTTTTTAATTTAAATACATGTATTCTTATATACTTTAAGTTGTATAGTTTATATTTTTTGTATTATTTATTTTATTTCTTATCTTTAATTATATGTAGGGTTTTGAACCAAGTATCAAATAATATCAACATTGTACTAAATTATAATGAATTAAATATATGAATTGTAAACTATTATATTAAACTTATAATAAATACAGTACTGACTTAATACCAAAATAGTACTATTAGAAAGCTAGATATATATATATATTTATTTTATTGCTTTATTGTATAATTTTTTTTTAATGTTAAATGAGGCATTTTTTTTTTTTTTAAACGGGTGGCTTACACCTTGTTTATTAGGTATTTATTAATAAGTATGTACAAATTTATTTTA